AGATTTTCCTCTCTCCACTGCTGGTATTACCCCAGCAGGGAGGCCCTAAAGTACTACACTTCACACCCTAGAAACACGTGCCAGGGGTGGGGAGGTGGTGGTGGTGACTTTCAAATCTCTTCTGTATTAGGTTTGACAGGAAGTTCGAAGGGAAATGACCGCCTTGTTATTGACGTGTCCACTGTGAGTTTAACTATGGGACCTCAAAATGTTCTATGGGTAGTATATTTGAGTTGACAGCACTTTCTGGAATAAAGCATCATTACCTTAGTCTCAAGGGCTGACGAATCAGGGTAAACTAACAATATGACCTTCTCCAAGTCAGCAGCTAGACTCAGCCCACCACATCTAAACAAACAAGTCTTACTTTCTACTTGCCAGAGATAATGACCTAAAGTTCTAAGAAAATGATAGATTAATTCATCAATCAGCTTCTTACAAAGAAACATCAGGAGAAGTCTCCAGATAAGAAACATCTATTTTAGGTGCCAGCCCCGCGGCCAAGTGGTTAAGTTCGTGTGCGCCACTTTGGCAGCCCAGGGTTTTGCTGGTTCGCATCCCGGGCATGGACATGGCTCCGCTCATCAGGCCATGCTGAGGTGGCGTCCCACATAGCACAACCAAAGGCACTCACGGCTACAACATACAACTGTGTATTGGGGGGCTTTGGGAGAAGAAGAACCAAAAAGAAAGAAAAAGACTGGCAACATATGTTAGCTCAGGTGCCAATCTTTAAGAAAAAGAAAGAAACGTCCATTTTAAAGTGTGTATAACAATTAGTTGTAATCTGATACAAGAATATTTATTTCTAAGACAGAATAAACAGGTTCCTCCCTCTACTCCTCTGCAAGTCTCTAACTCTTAATGGAAATATCTATTATGAATGTGAGGTATTATAAATATGATGAAAGGATGGTGGTTTACCAGTCTCTTAGGTGCCTATAATGAAAGCTGAAAAAAAAAAGCTAAGTATGAATGCCACTGGCATCTTTGTGCAGACTTGTACATTCAGTTATTCAACCCATCTTATATACACCATGCAAAACAAACATCGGATGATGGGCAGTAATTGCTATTGCCACACTCACCAGGCTGGCACTGTAGCTCCTAAGGGTGCCCCAGAATCTAAGCTGTTTCCTTTCAGTCAAGATTATTCAAAAAGGCAAGGTGGAGCCTAAGACTGAACTCTCAGAAAACATTTTGTAGGAAATTGGAGGCAGTTTCATGGCTGGCGGGGCTTTAAATCCAGGAAGCACCTGTATAAAATCCTGAGCCTTGCCAACTCTCGCCAAAATGTATCTCATTCCCGTTACTCTGCTAGCAATGGGTCAACTTCTGTTCCATGGAAAACAACTGACGCGAGCGAGAGCAGAGCCACCCTAATCTCGGGATGGCTGAAGAGCGCAGGGTTGAAGAGGCCTGGCTTCTATGCCCTACACCACCAGTCATTACGTGCACAGCCACCGAATCACTTCAGTTCTCAAATGTACAGCTTTCCCACCTGTAAAAGGAAAGGTTTGGACCAGATTAATTCATTTGAAAAATAATGATTGCACACCCACTATGTGAAGGTACTGTGCCAGGCAGGCACTACGGAGGGAGAAATGGTTAAAGAAAAGAAGGATCGACTACGCCAGTGCTCTCCTACTATTTAAAAAATGCCATTCATGCTGTACACGAAAGAGTGGAGAAGAGCACATGGGGTGGTGATGGGCCAGGGGCTCAGTCCCAGTTGCCGTCTAGCTGCCCTGAGAACTGAGAGCTCAGTCCAAGCATAGCTGTAGGGCTGGCCCTGTGGCCAAGTGGTTAAGTTGGCACACTCCACCTCAGTGGCCCTGACTTTCACCGGTTTGGATCCTAGGGGCGGACCTGGCACTGCTCATGAAGCCACGTTGAGGTGGTGTCCCACATAGCAGAACCAGGAGGACCTCCAACTAGAATATACAACTATGTACCGGGGGGCTTTGGGGAGAAGAAGAAAAAAAAAAAAAGATTGGCAAACAGATGTAAGGTCAGGGCCAATCTTTAAAAAAAAAGAAAAAAAGCACAGCTGCGACCCATGGAGACACACCAGTGAGCTGGTGCTCCCTGTCAAGAAGCTCTAAGCTGGACATGCATGGAGTGTCCCTGCCTCAAGGGGAATCGTAATCCTTCAGAGGCTGAAGGTGCTGTGGGAGCAAAGGGAGGGAGACTCCTGGTAGGCAGAATTCCCTGTAGCCAGAGCCCAGTGATCTCTTTGGAAGCATGCCATCATGGTGCCCACACACAGTTGATCACGTGGGTCCGCTGCCCAGTGACTATGATGGAAGGGAGGGTGGAGGGGTGGGAGCAGGGGGACAGGGAAGGAGGAAGGAACAGCAAAAGGCGATACTGGCAGGAATTAGGAGGACTCTACTTACCTGAGATTTGAAGCTGGGAAATGCTGATGCCGTCATCCACTTGGCCCTGGTTTCCTTGGAGGTTTGAAGGATCAAAGTTACTAGCTGAGGACCAACTGCCACATGTACCTAAAGTTCTGGAAAACTGATTCTTTCAGCATATACTGTTTGAGACTGAGGCAAACAAGACCCAGGATCTCTCCTCAAGGAGCTCGCTGTGCAGCAGACTCATAGCAAATGATTTCTTAACAACACCAGGAACAAACCAGGAAGAAACGCAATTTGTTCCTCTCTGGTGCTATCCAAGATGGAAAAAGGGTGTAGCCCAGACTACTTTATTAGCAATTCCTCCGAAATGATATTAAGCTATATATCTACCAAGGTAAGGCAGGGAAGAGAAGCAATCCAGGAACTCTAAAATCGGCAAACAAAAGCAACTTGGAAAGGCTGAGGCTGGACCTTGGGCATGTTGTGTGTACCTCACTAAAGGGTTAAGTGGCCAGAAGTAAGAGAAGGCAAATCCAGAAAACCTCTAGAGAAATATAAAATGGTCATGTACAGTAAGTCTATGCCCTACAAGTGTCCTTTTTTTTTGGTAAAGAAAAAGAAAGCTGAGCAGTGACCTGACCCAAAATTATCTGAGGAAGAAAAGCAACATTAGCTCAAGACTGAGCAGCAAGAAAAATATGACTGCGTTTGCCAGATAAAATAGGAAATATTTGCAGCTGGATTACCTCCGTGTCAGTCACAAAGGGTCAGTCTACACGCCACATAATTGAGTTTCTCAACATCAACGGAATCTCATTGTCCACATTAAGCCATCTCTTTTCTGATTCATAAAACACTATTTCACAGAAAAGTGAATCACTTCATTACTACTTAATGTAACATAAAATAAACGACATTTGTATTAATTTAAAAACAATTTCCAAGTTAAAAGGACACACAAAAAAGGTTCTAAGCGTGATTTTTAAGATGTTGGAACAAATCAAGATTTAATTTAAAATATATTTATAATAACTACAAACGATTACACGATTTTTCTTTTAAAGGTCATATCTGCAACAGAAGAGAAATAACTTGCTTTAATCTGATCCTTTACTCCTAGTGGTTTATGGGTCTTCAGAACTGATAAATCACTTAGCTCGTGGAAGCACAACTGAAACTCAGCATGAGGCCCTCTGAGCATAAGCGAATGAATGAAATGGAAAGAGCACATCGTAATACTTGGTGTAAGATGCTCCTGCAGGACAAGAGACCAAGCACAGCCAGCAACAGCACCAGTTCAGGGTCTTATTCACACACTGATGATCGGATCTTCTGCAAATCGCCTTGGTCTTTGCCAACGGGATTCAGAATGTTAACCGTTGCTCAGGAATCAGAGAGTTCTTCTGGAAGATAAATACCTACAAAATGCACCATGATCTTAGAGAAATAAATTACAAAACTACGAACACTATTTACCAGCAGCGTACAAGAAAAGTCACAAGATCCAGTGGCGCCATATGCTGGCTGACCCCTTGTTTTGATTATCCAAGACTTAAGAGACCTTACAGGTAATGACAGAATAACAAATGATAGAATCAACGGCAAATTACCTTTATATCATAGGAGTCTATATCAACTCAAGCCTAAATATCAGTACTTGCCCGTGTATATTTAAAGTCTTTCTTAGTGTTTAACCTAATATAAATTTTAACATCAAAATTTGTAAGATGTGTTAAGAGAACACAGTTACTTTATATTAGACAAATACAAGCAGATGATATGAGTCTCTTCTTTCATCTTTGAAACTCAACCACATGAAATGTGGAAATATTTTTTTATCAAGTAGATAATCTGTTTTATCAATAGCTAGTAAGCCATTTTTGTAAACTGTCTTTCAGCTGAAAAAACAATATACTACTTACATCATATTGGAAAAGGAATGACCTCAAGATTTCCAAGCAACACAGCTATTTTTCACATCTGAACTCCCCTGCTGATCATTAGGAATAGTTTCAAATGTCCCATTCTTGGCCTTGGACAAGTCTGCAACAAGGTTACAGTTGAGAAACAGAGAATTTCTGCGTGGGGTGCTAAATCGTCTGTCCTCCCTTTTCCTTAGCACACCACCATTCATATTAGTTTGAGGTTTCTCCTGAATCGAGCTCTGCTTATGTTATACAGAAGAGTGAAATCAAAGTTATTTCACTTCTACCTGCTGCAGGCTAATAAACTACCTCAAATTCATTGTTTTAATGGCATTTACTGTTCTGTACTTAGAAATGCTGTGGTCCAAACTCTGTCCTCAGTCAACGTGTGGCAGGCATGAGGCAGAGGTGAATAGGGCCCAGAAGGCTCAGTGCTGGATCAGCACACTCAAGGACGCAATAGTCTAGTCTTTTGTTAGTTGGTATTTGCAGAATGCATTGGGGGGAGGGGGGCGGAGGCAGGCGGAGGAGGGGGGGGTAAGAATTGCCTTATCTGATCTAAAATGGTACTGATCTCTGTTTCACACTCTTACACAATTCCCAATTATCCAAAATGCTGATGAGTGAATGACAGATTTTTGTTTCTTTTCACCAAATAGCTGGAAATATTAAAAAGTTAAGGCAGACTAGAAATAAAACACAATTCCAGTATGTTTTAAACCAGATTTAAGTTTTTTTTTAATTCAAATTGACCCAAAGCAAAACTTACATTACAAAGGAAGAACAAAATACATTATGATATAACACACTAGGAGTTACATGAAAGCTAAATTTGTGGGCAAAGGGCCTCATCCCAATCACATTCTGGGCTAAAGAGCAATTCTGCAGGAAAGTTAGAATCTCAATTTGCGTATGGTCCACTCTGGTAATTAAACTACACATTCTTGTCTCTTAGGGTGTGCATCTGACAAATCACACTAGACTCCCTCATGCTCCAGATGTGTACTCTTGCTACTGGCAGAACAGTGAATTCTCTAGCGGAAATGCTGTTCCAAGCGTGACTGATAATGAATTAAAAAACAAAACAGTCAAGTCCTCCAAACTAACAAGCGTGGATTATTCTGTAGTAAATAGTTTAGAAATATGAGAATTAAATAATCTAAAAAACACTCTTACTCTGCTGTACATTTATAAACACAAATATTTACACACAAAAAAAATTCTTCCATTTCCAAAAGATGAGGTTTGCAGTTCATTAATGATCATAGTCGTTTATGAGCTGGTTTCTTTGGTGTACTTGCCAAATATATTTTTATAAAGGTTCAGTAATAGGCTTAAATAATAAATTTCAAAAGAAACATAGAAGGATCAGTGATGAATTTGATACTATTCTGAACATTTCAGTCAAGATTCTGGAAAACCAAGCAGTTGATTTTCCGAAAATACTTGTTCTCTCTACTCATTATGGGACCACAGAATGCTTCTCTCCAACCAAATGCAAATGTGGACCTATTTTCCATCCGTTACCAACTTCGAGACATTTTAGTTATTGTTAAATGATATGTGATTGGGATTTTATTAACAACAAAAAAATCTTTTTTAAGCTTCCAGATAAATCAAACCTCAAAGAATAAATAATGGAATTATATACTTCTTCATTAAATAGAAATTTCAATTCCAGGAAGAGCTCTCATAATTTTTTTCTGAAGTCACAGCAGCAATACAGAACAAAGAATTTACCTTAATCTGATCTTTTTACTTGGAATTCCCTGACTCAAACTCAGTGGCTAACTTAGTTTGGAAACCTTTGAATGGTTTGGGAAAGAAAATCATTCTAGTAACTGAATAAATTAATGCACACATATGAGGAAATAAGCCCTGTGTGAACAGAACATTAATATTACTGCTCAGAGTGCAGGACCCCGGGGCCCCTCCCATCTCCTTGTCTCCCTAGGCCTCGGGTTTTAGGGAGAAGTAACACAATTCATTTCTGGCCGTGCCATGTCCCTGATGCTGCTCATGTGTCTTAGCTCTGACCTGGGTATGGGTTTAAAGAATGAGAACACAGCATAGCTCCTATCTTCACAAGGGACTCTCCTTGAAGAAAACTTTTTGGAGGTATTTTTATGGGGAAAAAGACCACCCATTTCTATCCATCAGACTCCAGTTACAGTTTTGGGATGGTTACAAACTGGCCACACTCTCACTGGCTCCCTGCAAAAGAGTCTATGTACCCCATCAGCGATCTCCCAAATCATCCTTTTTCTGAAGCTCCCCGTTCTTCAGAAACATGTGCACTGCCCAGGCACAAGCAGATCAGATACTCCGATGCCACAGCCACTCTGCAGCCAAGAGAACAAACTTTGTGATCGAGAAAATATCACTGCTCGCTCTGAGAAAAGGGAAAGCCAGAGTAGACTCCTAATTCTGCTTATTTATATTTTTCAGGTGAAATAGTTTTATACCTAATGACTGAGAACTAGAAATTCAGACAAGAGAAGCCCTTCATCTTGTAAACTTCTGATAACAAGTTTATTACCAGGGTGTAAATATTTTGAAATTTCCCAAAGCACTAAGAACAATACTAGGATATTGAAAAGGTTCTTCTGAAACTACTATGATGACAAATCAAACACAGAACACATCTCCAAGGGCATCATCATCGATCCCTGATGCCTCTGGAACCTTTTCCATTGTTGACACTTTATCATATCCATGTTTACACTGCAAACATATGCCCAATCAACCCAGAAAATAAAATAACTGTCCCAAAGAGCTTTACTGTGTATAACCATAAAATAGATAGAAAATGTTTAATTAGCATATTAGGAATTAACCAGACGTACAAATGTGCACCCATTAGAAATTTTACCCTTTAGAAATTTTTTTTAAACTGGAAGAAAAGAACACCACGAAACCGCCTCAAATTATTTAACCATTAAAGCCAAATGGTTTAACAATATTTTGGGCTATTTTTAGGGAATACTATACCACCAGAATACGAAATTTTCTGCTTAAAGTGAAGTAAAAGACAAAGCTTAAAATGGAAATTGCAACTGACATACTAAGGTTGTGCAATTAAAATTAAAGTGGCTGTTGCTGTTCTCATGGGCATGTCAAAGCCGGCTGTAGAATGAGGAACATCAAGTGAAATAATGGATAAAATACACCAGAAGGAGTATTGCACTGGAGGCACTGTTTTAAAAACAGAATACACTGGCTTTATAAAGTTATTTTCTTTCCCATTAATTTTTTTAAAAGCACAATTCAACTAGAGACAGAAGTTGAGACCCAATGTCTCTGGGTAGTGTACTACAGTTGTTAAAAAAATAAGTTAAAAACAAGAGCACACCAACAGGAAAGCAGAGGTACTGGATTTATGTCATCTGAAAGGTACGTTAATTAGGAAAACAACAGTTTGAAACAGCCAATTTGTACTCATTAAAAATGACTGAGGCGACAGCACTATTTTAAAAAAATTTCTTAGGGCATTTTCCAGTAGAACCCAGGACCCCCTCTGGGTGAAACTGTGCCTCCGAACTCTAACAAGTGCTCTGTTGGTTTATAGTATCGCGCACACCGATGAAACCATAAATTTGGAAAGGGTAAATTCTCCACTCTGAAACTGCTCGTGTCATTTTGGAAAAACAATTTTTGTAAATGCAATATTGTATACAAAGCTTGGACCTCTTAAACTTGGACCAAGAAACCAAATTAAGACCTTCAAGCATGTGGTGTGTGTGTTTATATATATAAAAAAATCCCTCCCCTACAATGAAAACCAAACAAACAAACAAAAAAACCTAAAAGTGTATACCTGCTTTCTGACTTCACAGCAAATCAGAAATTGCATAGGATATACTTTGTGCAAGGCAAAAAGCCTTTTAAGTATCTGGAATATAACTCCTAATCTTGCTCACAGTTCCGTGTATATCAGATATCATCAAATTTGTGTTTTAAGTAGTCTTTCATGACCTTGGCAATTGGTAGTTCATCAAGTAGCTTTAGGTTTTGAAGGCCTATACACTGTCGAATTTTAATTCGGCACAGGTCCTGCAAGTTTCTGGGTTGTCCTAAAAAGACAGAAAAAAGAAAAGGTTACAAAGCACAATACTGAAGGTGGGCTTTTAGGTTTTGAAAAGAAATGTTTATTTCACTGGGAAGTGTCTCTCTATGGACTTTACACACAAAGGATTAGAGAGACTCCTACTAAGAGGATGCGTTTTGGGTACCTTCATGTGATGTCTCAATTAACCCTCTTCACAACTCTGGGATGGTTGATATTTTCACCTCCATTTTACAAAAAAGGACACTAAGTATCAGGGATTTACATAAACTGCTCAATGTCAGACGACTAATTAAGGCTTTTTAGACCAGGACTAAAACCAGTTCTGATTCTAAGCCTGCTCGTCTTTCCACTACAAATCAGAATGCTGGTTCTCATCCTGGCTAGGCCTCTGAACCTAGGCCTGGAGAACCTGTGCGAGCAAATCATTCCTCTGGGCCTCAGTCTTTCCACCTGAAAAGTGAGGGGACTGAACGAGATGTTCTCTAACGTGGCTCCTCCTTTCAGTTCACTGGGTAGGACACTGGAACCTAGACACAGGACACGATCTCTGGAGAACTTTCCCAAACGACATCTGCACCTGTTCACCCAGATTCTGGACAAGGCAGAATACTGGCTGTCAGGACGAGGTGCAGATGGAGGGCAGGGGAAGGGGTGAAAAAAGAAGCCCAAGCTATTCTGAGTCCGTCTCTTTAAACCTCAAACCCTGGCCATCTATCTGACAATAACCTCTGCTATATCCCAACTCAAAAAGACATATCACAAAATCCAATTTCTTTCACTTTTGAATACTTTCCCAAAACAATACAGATGACCACAAACACAAGGAAAAGTCCTAAGCAATGGTGCCCCGGTAGTGTTTGGATTCACATTAAGTTCTGCTTTCATATTAAATGGTAATAATAATAAAAGATAACGTATGTTGAATGCTTACTCTGTGCCATGTATTCTTATAAGCTCTTGACATATACTAACTCATTTAATCCTTTTATGAGGGAAGTACTTTGATCATTATCCCCATTTTACAGACTCCTTACATCTCAGAGAGATTAAGTAACATGTTCAAAGTCAAGTAAAATGCCATACTTCAGCGGTTCTCAAACTTCTTGGTCTCAAAACCTCTTTACACTTTTAAAAATTATTAAGGACCCAAAAGAACTTCTGTTTATGTGGATTATATCAATAATTACTATATCAGAAGTTAGAAATTTTAGAAATACTTAATTCATTTAAAAATAAAAACCCATTACATGTTAACATAAATAACACTGTTATGAAAATAACAGGATTTTCCAAAAATAGTAAGAAGAATGGCATTCTTTCATATTCTTGCAAAGCTTTTAAAGGTCTGGCATAATAGATGGTAGCTGAATTCTCATATTTGCTTCTGCATTCAATCTGCTGTGATGAAATGACATCATCTAGTCTTTGGAAAAGTCCACTTACACTCATGAAAGAAGGAATGTGAAAAAGACAAACAATGTCTTAGTACTATTATGAAAATCATTTTGACCTCAGATACCCTGAAAGGGTCTCAAGGAACTCCAAAGGTCTCTAGGCCATGGAGAACCACTGCTATACTTAGTACTTCATCCCTTACTTGAATTGTACTTGTTTGTAGTGATCACCATTATTCAAAATTAAGTAATTCTTCACAAATGAAAAAGGTTCCTTAAAACTCAGACCTCAGTTCTGTAAAACACATATGAACACGTGCTGTCCAAGAGTTAATATATGGTCTCTTAACAGAAGCACGGCAGAAGCTACTGCTTTCCTAGAAACGTCTGTAAACTAGGGGCATGTATGTGTATCTACAGACGTCTGTACAAGGATCTGTGCATGGCTGTGACACACACACTCTTGTGTCTCTCAGCAAGACTATTTTTTCTCCATCTTCCAGAGCTCCGCAAAAGGGGCGCTTCATTAGGGGAGATGAGGTCAGGTTTCCATCAGATACTCAGAGCTCCTTCCCACTATAGCACTAAACAAGGTTGTGATTTTACATCTATTTGGTGATTACCTACCCATGCCCATCTTCCTCACTATACGACATGTTCCATGAAGGCAGGACCACATCTGGCTGCCAATGTAAGTCCAATGCCTAACACAATACTCAACAAATACTAGCTGAACGAATGAATATTTAACAGGCTTGTCTTTAAAGTATGAAACAGTTGACTCATTGCAAAACACATCCATGTCAACAGCAAATCATTTTCTAACCTGTTTTGAATTATTTTTCATCACCATTCATGGGCTACCATTAGGAAGAGAATAAATTATCACCGTCATTTTCAATAAACGCTTATAGTATTTGATCTGCAAATGCAAAAACCAGAATATGAATTACACGTGAATCTTTTTTTAAAGTAAAGAATTTGACTTTCCTAATAGATGGCAGCTTCTTTTCAAGTATAATATTAATAAAAAGAATAACCATGATGTGTTCAGGCAAAAAACAGATAAGGATAAAGTTGACATATGTAAGTATACATGCATACCTAAATCAAAACATATCCTCCAACAAAGTAGAAAAACTAAATTATTGGAATTTGCTTAGCTAAGGAAAAAAGAAGGATTGAGACAAAAGGTTACATAATGGGGATTTTTTTTGCGGCAGAATGCACTCTCCAAAAACGGCCACAATACGGCCTATGCCTCATGCTCCTTTTTACAATGTGACTGGATACTCCCATCATTAAGAAATGGAGCCTAGCTTTCCTCTGCTTGAAACTGGATGACCTTGTGACTATGATGGAAATGATGTTATATGACTGCTAAGTCATAAAAGGTGATACGACTTTCGCCTGGTTCTTGGGACATTCACTCTTGGAACACAGCTACCATCATGCCACAAAGAAGTCCAAGCAGTCTATAAAAAGGAAGTGAGGACACTGCCCAATAGTCCTGGCTGGGCTCCCAGTCCAGTGACTCCAGACGACCCTGCCTGAAGCACAGAAAATAACTGACTATCAACACTTTAAGCCACTAAGTTTTGCAGCATTAGATAACTGAGTGAGATTATGGGACCTGGAAGTAGGGTGTTGCCATCAAAAAAAATCTAAAATATGTGGCTTTGTCATTGGGACCAGCTTGATGGGAAGGGCTTTGAAGAGGCTCTTGGTCAGGGCTTAAAGGAAAGTTTTTAAAATGTTACTAGAAGCTGGAGGAAAGGGGAACCTTTTATTAGTGGTGGCAAATTTGGCACCACTGTCACCTGCAGTAATGTGGAAACTAGGAAAAGCCTTAATGATCTGCTTAAGAAGATTCCCCAGGCAGAATATTGGAAGTGTCACTGGCTTTCCTCGTTGTCTATGATAAAATGCAAGAGAGCAAAGATGAGCTAACAACTTTCATTCAAGGGACACAACTACAGAAATACTACCATCCTCATAAGTCATCTCTGTATGGGCCTTTCCAGGGAAAAATGCACTTTTCATGCCTATAAATATGGGAAAGTTTTACTCAATTTGCTACTAATTTTTCTTCTCCTTAAGCAGTGTGCAATCTTTTAATATTGTGGGAGCAACTGATCGTTCAAAGATTTCTTGACACTGTAATTCCCGTCTGCAGAAAGACCCTTAATGGTAGAGGCATATCACAGTGGTTAAAGCTTCAACCCTGGAGCCAGCCTGCCTGGGTTTGACTCCCATCCCGGCCCCACCACTTAGAAGCCGTGTGGCCCTGGGGAAGCTACTTAAGTCTCCCGCCTCAGTTTCCTTATCTATGAACTGAAGATAACAACACCTACATCATAGGCTTTCCAAGCATAAAAAGAGTTAATTTCAGTAAAGTGTTTAGAATAGTACCTGGCACATAGTAAGAGCTATATAAGTATTTGGTAAATAAATGTTAAAATAGTAATTTTTAAATAACTTTAAGGATAATGTTTACTTCTCCTTCCAAGAAAAGTAGAGAGCTGCTTCTTGGAAGCTGAAGAAGTCTCCATCTTTCTGGTGTTAAGATAGTAAGAAAACTAGTTGACAGCCTAACAGTAAAGGAGAAACTGGTAATCCATTACTGGAAAAGAGTCCTGGCCAAATTGATGGAAATCATATTCTGGAAATCACTGCATGACCTGAATCAAGCAGAAATGTGAGAACTTCAATAACTGTAGAAAAAGATTTGTAGTGATGAAGTAAGGAATGTCATTCATTATACTACTGCTCCACAAATATACAGACATTAACTCATCCTGCCATGTAGCGGCACTGAGTGAAAAATGGGCTAAATAATAGAGTAACAAGGAATTGTCATTGTAATTACTGTTATTTCTAAGACTAAGGAGCTATTTTTCCAGGAATATCATTTTAGGAATAGAAGATTAATACTGAAAAAGAAGTACTTATTTTCTTGTCAACACATCACTCAAAAGTATTTACTGAGCACCTACTATGTACTAAAAATGCACTGTCCCCAAGATCAAAGGGGCAAGGGAAGAGGAGGATGCAGTGGCAAAGGAAAAGGCAGAACAAGAGACTAAAGGGAATGAAAGCAAAAAGTCAACACACATGCACACAACTTTTGCTAGATGTCTTAGAAAATCACTCCTGCCCCGTTAAGTAACAAGTGCCTTGTTCATGGGACTGTAACAGAGGAGACCTGGGGACACCTCACTAGAGAGTGTAATTTAAGGAATTATAAGGACTTTGGGGGATGCAGAAACACTACAAGGCATTCATACTAATGAACTACAACGGAATTACAGAGTAGTTCAAAGAGTTATGAGTCTTTCCATTTGGTAAAGAAGCCCATCATTAGTAATAATTGGGCTGGTATAAAATAGGAAATCAGCTTTTGAAGGGTCTGGTCTTGTATAAAGTACAACAGCAGGGCAGCATCATAACTTAGAAAATTAAATATCTGAAATCACCTCATTTTGCCATTGGATTACTGCATTTATGATAAACGAAACGTATTTATTTGGATAAAGTATTTGTAAAGGTAGACAGAGAAGCAAAACATTTTTACATAATCAAAGTGAACAAAATGAAAGCAAAGCAAAGT